CTCTGCGTTGAGCACAGGGGCAGGCGCCGCCCCGCGCTCCAGCCGGCGTCAACGTCAGAAACACGCTCTTCGGGAGTCGACATCTCAAGCACGCCGCTGGGGACCACATGAGACCGTGCAGGGACCACTTGAAGCCACGCGAGACCACCTGATGCGGCGTGGGGAACCACCGTGGGACGACGATCAGCGCCGCTGGGGTCAGCTCAGACCCTGCGCTGGCAAGCGGGCCGTGTATGACGGCCAGCCGGCGCTGACAAGCGGGCCTGTGCTGACGCCAGCCGGCGCTGACAGCGGGCTGTGCTGACGCCAGCCGGCGCTGACAGCGGGCCGCGCTGACGTCAGCCGTGCGCTGACAAGCGGACCGTGATAACGACCTCTGACGAACGACAGTCGCCTCGTCACAAGATCAGCCAGCGGAGGTAGCACGGCGTTTGGAAGGTGCCCGGCGCCACAATTTCGTCCACGGAGTAGAAAGACGACCACGGTCGAGAGCGCCACGCATAGTATAAATCAACCACCACCAGGTAGAACCGCTTGAAGAGGTACTTTTTGCTGGAGACGGACACGGCAGAAGGTTAAGCGCTGAAGCCGAGGTTGAACACGCATAATACGCCGCACACCAAGAGAAGTCCCAGAACTGTGCCGGCAAATGTGGCTCGCAATATTGCAAGACATACAATGCTCAGTAGTGTAGGATATGGACCTTTTGGTGATGAAACCTCAGATAGTTGCGAAACATATACGTATGACGAACCCAACGGCCTCAGCAGTGAAATGCGCGCACATTAAGCCCAATCAAAAACAAAAATATGGGAATCACCGGCGATCAGGGACGTGGCCAAGACAACACATGTAAGGTCTGAGCATTGCCCGCATCGTGTCTGGTCATTGCCTGGTCACATGTTAGGTCGTTACCAATCCCCAAAAAGGAGGGGGGGAATAATGGGGGCTGTTTGTCCCCCCCCCCCCCCACGCGCAAGAGGTTTATACTAGATACTGGATGATTTCGCAGGTATTTGGTACGGGTTAGGATAAAAATGACCATTCGATCCCAGCCTTTGAGAATAATTTTGGCTCCGCGCCCGCCGGCGATTGTAATATTGTAAATGTTTTATGTGGTACGTGTAAGCAATTGTAATGTGTTGTATGGTATGTGTGAACAATTGCAATGCGTCATGTGTAAAACTGATATGAAATATTTGTTTACGCTTAAGACACAAATATAACCTTACACATTTACACAGAGGTCTGGGTCCTGGCAAATGGCAAACGTCCGCTGAAGCCGTTGCAATGCCCGAAGCGTCCGTTATGAATAACGCGAGCGGACACGGTGAGTCACGAGGCGCCCGAGCTGCGCCAGACATGACATGTCGTCACTGAGTTACCAGGCGCCCGAGCTCTGCCAGGATCCGACATGGGATCAGTGATTCACCAGGCGCGCCCGAGCTCTGCAGACCTGACACAGGATCAGTGACCAGCTGATCACCTGCGCTGTCCAGCTAGTGGTGGACCGCGCCCAGTGCCGCTATTTGCGCTGAATCATTAGTCCCGTTGTGACTTACTATCCGTGTTTGCTGGTGCCGTGGTACTCCCCGCGCATGCGAATGTACAGCAGCGAAGGGAGGATGAAGGTCAGCATCAGCGTGAACGTGCCCGCCGATGAGATGCATTATCTTGCCGAAGCTGGGCACAAGTTTCGGCCACGAACAGCGCCAGCAGCATCAGGCTCGAGCGCACCAACACGCGCCACTTCGTCAGGCCTTCGGCTGCGGGTGCAGGGCAAATGAACGTAAGGAAAGCAGAAATATATTGGAAACGGCAATAAGCGGTGGGTCATCTGCTGCGCTGTATGTCGCAACGGTAACAATCGCCTTCTATCGGCGCCTGAAGCAGTGCTCTGCTAAAATGAGTGATACACAGCGTTATCTTCCAAAACCTGTGCTTCATAAACCGGACATTACTGTACAATGTACAAAGTGTAGCCGCTCCTGCGAAAGAAATCTCATTTGGACTCCCTGCTTACCACCACAAAAGCGATGCATTTAATTTGCTTTGCATTTTACAGTGTATGCGTTCTGTAATGTTTGCTACCCACTAATTTGGCAATATGTTCGTGTAATAAATGTTACGGAAGCTTAAAGCAATTTGGTTTAGGACAAAAATTACGCAAACATGAAGCTGTTATTATGACGTGAATTCAACGAAAAGTTTACAATGAATTTTATTTCTCCACTATAGGCGTCCACCACAGTGGCTCTTCTCAAGGCGCAACTTGAGTTTGGGAGTGAAAACACCGCATGGTGCATAGTAATGCAATGGTTCGAATTTCAACCAATGCAACTTCTCACTAACAGGCCTTCCCGCCCGCTGGGCGAATCACAAATGTCCCTTTATTCGCACCATTAAAGGTGCCACTGCAGTTGCCCTGATGACAATCCTCGCGACTGCGGGGAAGAAGCTCAAAGCTGTTCCAAAGCGTTGACAGCGTAATTTGGGCCTCGAAAATTATCAAAAGTAATATCCTTATTGTGTTTTGACGGTCCAGCAGTGGCACTACCCAGTGTCATCATTAGACGTAACTGGTCCTGAGGTTTTCACTAGAGCATGTTTTTGAAACGGGACACTCTTTACGCGCGGGTAATCAGCGCCTGCGGCTGCAAAGTGAACTTTGACCTCTTCACGCCTGCCCTGGTCCAATGGCCATCTGCGGTGCTAGGTTAACCAACGGCAACAAAAGGGACCCGTCCGAATAACTACGGTACTGAGCACATGCATGAACCAAGCCACCTGTGTAAGACGACAAGAACACCTGATACGCCCACAGTCAGCCCAAGACGACATAAATCGCGCCCGCAGACGTCCACGTGTGACAACGCCTGAACAAGCGACACGTGCCCCCGGTCCCCAGACCCCGACCCCAGCATGTCCGTGCCACCTGCAGAAGACGGCAGGGCGGTGCATCGGGGCGTCTGTAACGCCTCTGCACGAGCAGGTGACGCGAAGCCGTCAGACTGTTTGTCCATGTGATCGGCAGACGCATGGGCCGCGCCCCAGGATGCGGAGTACGGACAGGTGGCCGATCCCCGGCACGAGCTGTATGCACTCGCAGGGGACGGCACCAGATTTTATGGGGCTGTTCATGCACGGTTTGTGTTGCAGGAACGTTGCCGGCAGTTGTGTGCTCGCACTGGCGCGGCGAAGCACAACACACCCCACAGGGAACAGTCACACTAGTCCTCCTGAGAATAGTGCATAAGATCGTGGCCATCACAAACAAGGCTGCACGTACAGCGCGCATTTTGCGTACCCCCACCAGCAAATCATTTACACGCTCTCGCTGCAGCACAAGAGTGGGTTACACGCTCGCGGGCCGCCACCTGTTGTTACAGGGTAACGGTCTTCCCGGCGCTGTCCCTTATCATACATTATGACTAACAGCTATGAAAAGCCCCGGTCTGTTCACTCAGGTTGCCTGAATATTCTCAGGGTCTTGACTGCCTATTCATCCCAGCTGAGGCCGTGTCGAAACAGCTCAGCGCCCGACGGAGTCTCGTTTAGCTGGGGTGGACCGCCTCAGATTTTGTGACTACGCATCGCTTGTGAGCAGTTTTTCTTAACAGTCAGCTGCCGAGTCAGCCTAGCGCACCATACAGCCTGAAAATGATCCGCTGAAGCAAGCACCGAAAAAGTACGCACGTGCCTTAATGACTCGTACGATAGTCATAAAGATAACCATCGAGCCATGAATGAGACCCAAATAGCTCTCCGTGCAATCATCGTTACATGAGAGCATACACCGGCGGTATCGCGGTACCGTGAGTGCAGTTTCTGAGAGGTCTGTGTGAAGAGTGCTGCTATCGACTAGTTTTGTAGGTCTCTACCCATGTAGTTCGAACGAACGCCAGTAAGGTCCGAGCAAGAACGCACAACACGGGCTGCTGTTCGAAACGCTCAGGAATAAAAGTCATGTTTGCTGGGTATCTCAACACGCCAGCCCACAAGAGAGCCACTGAGCTCCCTGATAAGGCGCAAAACTTAAACAATATCACTTACGGATTTGTTCGAATCGAAGGAATGACAATGACGAAATATACCGATCGGAGACGATAGTTGGTCGTTATTATGCGTTATTAGAGGAATCAAGCCTAGAAACAAAGGAATAAAACTTGTAGAATGGAGCCGGCAAGCTCACCTGGTTCGCATGGCATGTTTTATTTTCTCAGGACTTGTTTTTTTACACTGTGATGATCCTTCTTCTATTTTGGTCTTAACACTGGCCTAATGCGTGGGGGAGAACTTTGTGGTGTCATGCTCGTTACCGTAGCATTTTAATAAACAGCTTCACGCCGAAGATATGACGTGAAAGTGGCAACATTTCAGGTGTTCACCGTTCGTTGGTGCTTCAAATTACTGTTTAGAAAACACAATATTTCCGTTCTAGTAGGCTAACTTAGAAAAGTTATTCGGTGCATTCAACCCCCTTTGCAAACAAGCAATCATTTAAGTTCTCTTCAGCTCATCACATGTCGTACTTTCTGAGCCGCATTCAACATGGAGCTCGGACCTTATACGTTGATTTTGAATCGCACAGCATGCCACGATAACATCATCTGAATCTGGATTCTAAAGTTCAGGTCTTCTGCACTCCAGGAAGGTCAAGACGTTGAAAACATACCACCCATTCGCAGTGAGGCACTAACGTATGCATACAACGACACGTTGATACTTCTTGTTCTAAACACATCCGAAACCCCATTACCGGTTAAAGCTGCTACCGACGGCAGCTGGGAACCCACACACTCACAGCTCTGTATCTGGAAGGCTCCTTCTACGTTTTGGCACACCGGGTTGATGAGCATGACGAACGCTCCCAAGAAGTGACGGTCAGAAGCACCTGAGGACCAGCAAGCTTGTCCGTCAGCGAGCACTATGCGGGTAGCGCAAGCCGCACGCAACAGGGTTGACATTCACCTCACCCAAGTTTGGTATTGCTTTGTGCTTCATGCCGACACGTCGAAGCGGAGCTGCTAAATGACAGAACTCGTTTATTTTCCACACAGCACATGACACGTCGCAAGAAACGGCTGATATCGTGCGTATAGCTCTGGAAGTTTTGCTGCAGTCCATAGTTATTGACTGTGAGAGCGAATATACAATATTTACGAACAAATGCCACCAACATGAGCTCAAGGGCCTCCCAATCCACCACGCACTGTCATCCATGTCCCAGCGGGCACGCAGTCGTTACGTGAACCCACCTGGATGATGATGAGCAGGGGGCCAGCGGTGAAGTTCTCTGTAATGTTGTCGCGCACTTGATCTCCATAAATGACGTAGCCCAAGGTCGCCACCGGGACGTACACCATACAGAGACCTGTTGGGCCATGCGATACGGATGGTGTGCACGTGGCGGAAGATCACATTACCCAACAAGATGTAAAAGGCAGCCGAGGAAGTCGTCACAGCAGAAAAGCACTGAGCCGTAAAGGTTAACAAATGGTTGAAAAGACTAAGACCTGGAAGATTCGCCGTAACACGCAACGAATGTGTTGTTCAAACTTTTACCGGACGTGCAAACGTGCCTTGCACATTACGGGGGGTACGAGTGTGTCGTAACCTTGGCTTCATCACTAATCCTGACATGATCACGCATACCTTTTAGCGGTTGAATTTGGCCTCCTGCTCTGAAAACTCGCTATGCCGAGCCAAGTGTTTCGATGGCATGCTACAGCGTCAATGGGGACCACAGCAGCGGAGCAATCTAGAAATCATCTAACTGGGCCAACATTCCTCCCCTGGCCGCCCGTCTTCGTACTATTAATCTGCGCACTGCCCACAAACCCGCACACTGAGTGCCTCCTTCTGACACCTCTCTGTCGCCGCACGCACCTGCGAAACCGGCGGCGGCGGCGCGACTGAAGCGAGCCCGGTCGGCCATGTCCAGCTGGATGGTGGGGAAGGTGGACACGCCGGTAAAGCTGAACACTATGGTGCTGAGGCCCAGGCAGAAGCTCGACAGGCTGACTGGCGCCAGTGGCACCACCGGCGCCACCGCCGGCGGCAGCACCATCATCTGCACCAGCATCAACGCGGCGCCCAGCACCACTGACACCAGCGCGAACATGGCTGGTGCTCTGCCGGCGAAACGGCAGCATGGTACCGATGGCATTGGAGCTCACAGGAAATACCGAAACTGTGGAGTACTGTGAACACCGGTGCGGGCTTTTGGAATATCATCAACGTGACCACTGGTGGTTTATGACACACACCGATACCATGACGTACGCTAACACACGGACACCAGGTACCGTAACAGCTGACGCTGATCGTGAATCGGGAGTGAAGTGCCGGCTCGCGGCCTGGTGGGGACAACTGGCGACGAGCAGAACAGCTGGAGGATCTAATCCAATATATTCTCAAATCACCGCCCCGCAGATACGGTGGGCGCGGAAGTAGAACCAGCGGTCTCTGACCTCGTGCTAGAGGAATGTTTTCCATGGGCAGAGAACACATTAAACAACGGAGTCAGCGGTAGCGTTTGGGAGACGTGCGCGCGCGCGTGCGTGCGCGTATGCGTGTGAGTGTGTTAGGGGATTGACGTGATGTTTTGGAGGGAGCAGGAGGATGGTCTCTGGGACGAACGGATGTTTAAGGGACGGAACAGAGCCCACCTGAGGTGCTGGGGCGAGCCGAGCCAGGTGACGGGCGTCAGCAGAACCGTCAGCACCAGCACCCAGCTGCATATGCCCAGACTGCGCAGGGCCAGCAGGTCGAATCCAGCTCCGCTGAGACCAGCAGCAGCACCACGCTCGTGCCGAACAGCGCGATGTTCATCAGCGTCAGGATCACCCGCCTGAAAGCGGCGGAAACGTCAGGATCACTCGCCAGATGACGCCATTGGCGTCATCATGATAATCATCGTCATGACCATAACCACCTATCCACTTCCGGCAGGGACCCAACAAGTATGTGGCGCGTGCTTTTAGCTTTTGGTATGGGCCGATGCTACCTGCTTACTTTAACAGGCGGTAGGTTTGCCGATTCCGTTATTTAGTAGCCAGCGAGCCACTCATGTATAGCAGCGAGTTTTCGCTCGGCAGGGGTTTGGACACCAAATGGTGAGAGTCAGGCTTCCATTCCCATAGAGCTATCACTTAATATTATCTTGAGGGTCCAAGTTAACCCTCTCATTACTTAATACGTAATAATCTCATAACTTGATCATCAATCAGTTTGATAATAATTTTGATAATTAATTTTGATAATAATTTTGATAAATTAATTTGGATAATAACTTTGATAACATTTTTGTGACAACATACAACAAAAAATGATTAACAAGTGAAGCACGCCGCGGGCGGACTAGTAAAAAACTCAGTACTTGTCCTTTGAGCAAAAGTAGAATAAAGGTATAAGGAGAAAAGTATAAGAAAAGTACAGGTGGCCGAAATCCGTGACGAAATCAGGCTTTGGGTAGGTTAGGTCGACCTCACCTGGCTGGAAGTCCCTTCCCCTACCGATCTGGTTTTAACTGGACATGTCTGGGGTTGGAAGCTAACATACTGTTCAGCCAATAGCGTTCAGCTCCCACGTAAATCTCAAGTATTTCATAATGATGCTACAGATCATATCCAAATTCGATTTGCCCTGATGCGCGACTAGTCGCCTGGGGTCGACAGGCAGTCGGGCGTGTGCCGTGCTGGGCCGAGTGGGTAATATTCACTTACCACGGGTCGCATACTGGGACAGCGTAAGAAAAAGATATATTGAAGTTAACAGTTGTTAGAAATCTTGAGATGAATTGTTATTTGGAGTTAGTGCGTCGTAAGTTAGTGACACGAGAAGTAATGATGATGTATGTATATGTATGCGATAATATAATATATATATATATATATATATATATATATATATACATATCATAAGAAGTAGTGCCAAGTCAGTGCGGCAAAGCTACCAGAACGAATACCCTTCAAACGGAACATGAAATTAGTGATTATAGCTAATTAGTCGAGTAATTGAATGCACTTCGGCAGTGCAGCCACGTGGCTTGACATGCACTAGGCAGAGTCAGGCCTAGTTTTTTCAGCGAAGAATAAACATTTTGAATAACAGGCATTTAGTGGCAAGGCTTGCGAAAAAACGACACAATCACAATCTGCGTGCGTGCGTGCGTGAGTGCGTTGCGTGAGTGCGTGCGTGCGTGCGTGCGTGCGTGCGTGCGTGGACGTGCGTGAGTGAGTGAGCGGCGAGAGCGCGTGAAGGGTGTGTGTGTGTGTGTGTGTGTGTGTGTGTGTGTGTGGTGTGTGGGTGTGTGGTGTGTGTGTGTGTGTGTGTGTGTGAGTTTCTCGCACTGGATTGCACTAACCAACAGCATGACTTGCATCGCTCTGTTTCTCTAAGATTAGGTTCTAACTACCAGCAGCAAAGACCGATTCTTAAAGGGCGACAAATAAACTCTTCCTAGTCGATTTTTCTCATTCATACGGATCGGATTACGTTGAGCTGGCCAGGTTGTTCGTAAGCGCTACGTTTCTCTACAACACGCAATTAGTTGCAAGTCTATATGTTTTCTGATTGACGACATCTGACGTCCAGAGACGCATAAAGCACACCGATAAAACGTGTGCCATCCAAAGCGTACGACTTGCTACACGCCGTGAGGCATACTCGCGACGACACAGTTGCTCCCTCTTTTCCCATTCAAGTTGTGCTGATGCTGTGTCACTGCAATCCCTGGCCGTCCGGATGTAGGCAACCTGTACTGCACCGACCTTTTGAAAATGTAAAAAATTTGCGTTTCCTGGTCAGCGAATACAGCATCAAATTTCAGGCATATTGCAACGTCTCAGCAAGTTGTAAACCATGCCCCATCAAACGCTTTCCACTTATACATCTTGAAAACATTACCATATGGCCCTGAAATAATGACGTTACTTGCTACTGAAACTGCATGGACGTGAATTGTACGAACATTAGCTGTTCATAATGTTCGAACATTAGCTCGATCCGGCTTGGACTAGCCGGATCGAACCACCGAGTTTGCGAACTTCCCCATCTCTTGATGACAAGACCCTACAACAACGTTGATGGTGACAAACTTAAGGATCGGTGAAAGCAAGATTTGGATGCGTTAGATGACAAATGACTACTGTTCTACGTCGACGCTTGTTTCCATAAGTGCTATAAAATCAAGCAAATCTATTTACATCAAATACTTAGCTTTAGCAAGCGCAAACCAAGCCAAGGAGGATGCACACGAAACAAATACCACGTGGCTTTCGAGAAACTTCCGTGGAATTCTCTCCCTTCCATTATAAAGTTCGTCCACAAGTGAGTCTGTTTTAATATGAGCCCACGCACTTGCCGATTCCCCGCAGCCCGGTCCTCACCATCTGCTCACCTGCCCCATGTAGTTTCAGGTGTAAGAAATCGACCAGCACTTACGCGCTTAAATAAAGCGACGCACGAGCACGTAAAAGCGCACTGCCGCATGACTGGCATGTTGGTCAGATTAGCGTCGTATTCGGATTTATATCCAATGTCAAGTTCAGATTTTCGCCAGATATATTCTATAGTCACAATCAAGCTATTTACAAACCTGCATCCTCTTTCTCAAAAGTTCGTAGTTTGATTTCTACAGGTCAACGGAAGGTAAGAAATTAGATACTCTGAAATACTTCGCCTGACCTCTACAGGTCAAAGAGAGGTAAGCAATAAGGTACTCTGGCATTCTTTCCTTTTTCAAATAAATTCAACAAAAAGGATATATTAGTGATACTCATGG